TCCCATTGCACTGTGGCCAGGATTAGGTGTTTCCAGGATAGAGTCCTTAGATGGAACCTGAAACAGCATCTCTTAAGGCAATTTTTATAATGCAAATTTTATACTGAGGTTGCATTTAATACACATTTATCAGACATTCTCTTCTATTCTTTCTAGCTCACTGCTTTGTGGGAATGGTGGATGTGTGGGGGGGGGCAGGGCCTGGATTCTTTTTCAGTAATCCCTCAACTTTACTGGAGAGAGTTCTTTTAACTCTGTGGGTTTTGAAACACCCAATACAATATTTCTAAGAAAGCAGATGTGTACAGTTATTTGGGATTGTTTCAGTGATTACAATATATAGGTTGTTATGCCAAATCAGATATTTCCTATCATACAGGAGCAGAATTTAGGATTTTGTGGGGCCTTGGACCAGAGCAAGTGAGGGCCCTTCCCTACCCCTTCTGCCTGCATCCCTCCCCGCTCCCTTTTGCTCTCCTACTGAGGAAATGGGATGCGGGAATTCTTTCTCTCCATCCTCCTTCCTCTCCCCTTCCTCTTCTCATGCTCCAGCATGGGAGCTGGACTGGAGCTTGCCAGGGGGCTTCATCCAGGGAGTAGTGGGTGGGCAGAGTGGGGTAAGCCACTGTTCCCCGCCTCAGCTCCTGGCTTGGAACACCAGATGGGTCAGGGCATAGAAGCACCCATTTTTCTGGGGCCCCTGAACATGGGCCACTATTACTAGTCCACTATTACTTTCACAAACTCCCTGGTCCTGTTTTATCTACACTTGATGAACATAATTGGAATTCTGGGGGGAGTTTAATCAAAATATCTGCAGTATTCTTTTGATGAAAAAATTGAACTTATGTATCTTTAACATGAGTGTTGTAATACTGATAGATTGAAAAAAATCTGTTTGCCTAGTACAGGGGTGGGCAATACATTTTGACGGGGGGGCCACGCCAAGATTTTGGAAAGTGGTCGAGGGCCGTACTCTTCCATGGTATTAATGGAGGAGCTGCGGGGTGTGGGATGGAAGTTTGGGGCAGAAGGGAGCTTGGAGTAAGGGATTGGGGTGCAGGAGGGAGACTGGAGTCTGGGAGGGAGTTGGGATGAAGCAGGTGGTTGTGACCTAGGGCAGGGGACTGGAGTGCAGGGGTTTGGGATGCGACCTAGAGTGGGAAGGGACTGTGATCTGGGGCAGGAGATTGGAGTGCCAGATCTGAGAGGGGGTATGAGTGTAAACGGGGGACAGAGGGTTTGAGTATGTTGGGGGGGGGGGGGGCAGGGAGGGGGGGCAGGAAAGGGGTGCAGAAGCAGCCTGT